ACTCTCTTGTTTTGCATAGAATACATTTTTGTCTTTCCTTTCCTCATCAGTCTTTGTTCTCCCATCCACTAATTCTACCTTCCTGACTTACTGTGGACTTGTTCAGTATGATTTGGGATGCTTTGTTATTGGCTGGCTCTCAATTTATAATGAGATAGAATTCTCTTACTGGATGCAGTCAAGGCCGATATAATGAGACCCATGTGTCTGATTTTATCTTTGTAAAATGTCTCATGGAGGAACCATATTTTAAAAGACCTCTTTAGACTATTAGTTCATGAAATGGAGGTATTCCAGCGCTTGAGTTATGATGATAATGATACTCTGGACATAGTAGTTCATATTGCTGCTTCTCACCTACAGCAGAGGTGTAAGATCAAGTCTGTATAATGGTTAAAAAGGTAGTACAAATCCATGAAAATCACATTTTCTTTTCAGGATGTTTCAGAGCAAAAACACCCTGGGTTTGGTTTCTTCCATGCTTCTGCCTGCCTCCTATGTGAGTGCAGGAAGCAGTAGCTACTGGGAAAGGGAATGAAGGAACAGGAAGCATTAAGCTTGGATAATCAAGTGTGTCCCAATATGGGCAAAACAGCAGTCCTAGAGATACCATTTCCAGTGAAGGTATTCTATTACATGTAAGAGAAGATCTGTGTTGTGATTATCTTTAACACCTATCTCCCCTTGCTAATCACCCATTTTACCAAATAGTAGGCCTCACATGCCAAATCCTTCATTGTATTTTTATTGTTTTCTATTTAGGACAGGCAAAACTATATATATATTTATGACATAAATATATCTTTATTTAAAGAGGAATATTAAGGAAATAGCAGTTTAAGAAACTATAAAAATCACAGCAGAAATATCATTATTAGAAAGAAATTATTCAATTAATCTTTCTTCAGTGAGGATCCCATGCCCAATAAAATGTGATATTTGACACTGCAGCAAAATTTATAGTAACAAGAATGGTGGACCAAAAGTTCATCATTTCAGTTGCAATTTTCCTGTTAGCAGTATGATGTTAGCAAGTCAGCTCTTTCTGGACCTCAGTTTCCTTGTATATAAAATAATTGGAAGATGACAGCAATAATTCCGTCTCCATCTGAGACATATTTTCAGTCTCAAGAAAGAAAACCAAAAGCTATATAAAAGATTTTGTAAAATTTGAATGTCATTTTTTAAAAATATGATGTCAATTTTGGGACACTACATCACAAACTAGTAGGAAGTAGCTTAGAGGATCTGTATGGAGATTTATCCAACGGTATGTTTCTTGACTGGGAGACATGATACCAGTCTGGTTATTGTTCTTCACCCAACAAAAGCAGACATCTAATATTTTATCCAGGCTTGTAATGAACCTTGTTCAGTGAAATAAATAGTATGCCAGTGGAACCTACTTGGATAAAGTAGTCACAAAAATGGTTTTTGATGAAGTTGACCTGTAAGCTGAAGTCTGAGTAATGAGCAAGAGACAATCATGAAAAACTAACAGAAAGAGCATTTCTATAAAGGGAACAGTATGTGCAGAGAGTCTGAAGGGGAAAGAATTGATGTTTTCCATGAGCAAAATATGATTGGAGCTTGATAGAGAAAAGGGGGAATGGAATGAAATGAGCTAGGAGAGCTAACAAGAGCCAGATCATCCAGGCTTTGCCAGTCATGGTTAAGGACTTGCATTATATACTAAATGCTTTGAGAATACACTGAGTTTTTTAAAAGACATTTCAGTTCTTTGTATTTAGGTTTGAATGGATAAGCCAGTCAAACAGGCCCGGTTGGGGAAAATCCTAGAAGGGGAGTGATGTTGTATCGCCTGAGATGTGGCTGCTTCAAGAAGCCTTCCTGACTTTCCTCAACTCTATCTTAGTTCTTAAAGCCCCCACACCAATACCTAAGATGATTTACATACCATTTATCCTTCTGTTTTATGTTAGTACTCTACTGTATAATTCTTATCCCCCTCTTCCCACCCAAGTTCTTGATTCAGAATCATGTTCTTCAAAGTTCCACTTGCCCGCAAAACCTATATGTCCCATAAATGTTTGGTGGAAGAGTAAATACATAAGTTCAGTGGTATCCAGCAGTCAGTGTGCCTCAGAATCACTGGGAAAATTTAAATTATGGGTGCCAAGGTCATACTGTGAGGGTGCAATTCACACAGCTCAGTGTAGTTACTGTAGATGCTCCCAAGTGATTGTGATATGAGGTCAGAGTGGAGAACCAGGGGAATGGGCTGATTCTGGGTGTTCTGCAGTATTCCTGGGAGTGTTAAGCTCACCCTTCCCTTTCCCATGTCCATATATCTGTCTTTGCCTTGTGATTGTTGAAAGCATAACACAAATGTCCAGTTATCTGGCCCTTAAAGTTATTAAGAATAATGAATTTCAGAATCTATAGTATGAGGATAGATGGATATATAGCCCTATGATATTACTGATCCAGGTAATCAGGCTACATTTTCCAGAGTGTGCTTTCAATAAGCTTTCTTTCAGAAGTAAAAGTATATTTGTTTTTCCCTAGACACCTAGAATTTGAGTGACTTGGTTTTTTATCAGGTATGGGCCCCAAAAACGTTCAAAAATATCAAAAAAGATGTTAAACTATGTTTCCTTTAGGTATGGTACTCAAAAATTTTAGCCATGGTATATTCATGAAAATGTTTTGATTTCATAAAAGGAAAGTCCTTATTTAATCCTTTACAATGTATATATAATAACGTAATTTTAAGGCACCTGCTTCAAAATAGAAAATTTGATGTTGAAGATAATAACAATAAACAAAAATTAAACCAAAATGGGCTCGGTGCCCAGGAAAACTTGCCCATGAACTGGGCAAGGAATGAACTAATAGAGGAAAAAAGGCAAGAATGAATAGTTTTGTATCTGTCTCCATTTAAAATGACCACTTTACAGTGTGACAGCTATTGAGGAATTCTGTGTATACATTTGTCATTGTGGGTGGAGTTCCTGCCTGCCTCATTTCAATGACAAATCTCCAATGGAGTTTGCCTTCCTGCAATATGAATCTTAGACATACCGGGAATATACTGTGATTCTGTATTGTGTTTGTGCTTTTATAATGCTGTGAACTACTTGGAAACAAATGAACTAGAAATAAAAATAGTAATTGGTTAAAACTTTAACTGCAGTTGGAAGGAAAGCCTTCAAATTTCCCAGGATGCTTAAATGTCATATGATTTACATAAACAAGGGAGGAAATCTTTGTGTATTTAGGAATGTGTGTCTAATGCAGGAACCCATGTTTTCCTGTTATTGAAAAGCATTCTTTAATCTTTTGAGCACATTTTAAGGCCTGCATATATTCCAGATATGTTGTTTCCTTTAACATGAAAACATAAGAGCAGAATACAACTACCAGTAGGTCTCCCCTTTGTGTCACAGAAGGTAAAGAAATAAATTAATCAAATTAAATAGAGGGACAGAGCCCTGAGCACACTGGTAAGACCAGCTGACTTATTTAGAGGAATGGTTATTCCTACTGGGATATAACAGGCTTGAAGCCTGTTAAGAAAGGCTATTTGTGATAGAAGACCAAAAATTTCCTCTGATCATAGGTATTGAAGGGGATGATAACTTTTTAACCACAAAAGTAAGTGTAATTGGTGTGAGACATTGGAGGCTTTTAACCAAATACAACTGAAATAATGGGCAATAATTTAAAGCATCACTTGAAGTTTTTAAAAAAGTTTGCTAGATTCTGATTAGGAGCAAAAGAAGATTGTGCTGGCCATAAAGACAGTTTTCAGAGCTGGGACTATAAAGTAACACCAATCCGCAAAGGCAGAGTGGCCTTTTGTTTTCTTCTCTTGGTCTCTGTTCTTCAATTGCAGTGAACCCAGACACCAAAACTGCAACAAGCTATAGAATGCTTGAACTGTAGTTTTATTATCACCAAAGATGATTACAATAAGTGCCTTCTGTTCCTCATCCCACAAGAGTTCTTTTGCCATCTGCTGAGCATCTACATAGTTATTAAAAACAAAGAAATAATATGAAACAGTTACATTGTCTTCCATAAGGCGGTGACTAGGACTGAAATGTTTGCAGCCAGTCTACGGCCATACCACCCTGAACGCCCCTGATCTCATCTGAAATGTTTGCAGCCAGTGGTGCTCTCCACTTTCCCTAGTTCTTCCATGTCATCATTGCTATTTAATCGCACTAACTTCTACATCCAAGACTCAGGAGGAGCTTTGAGGAAGGCCCTTTTAAGACCCTAATTTACTCTCATACTATCTTTGAGTCTTTAAATCAGAAGGCAAGTAGACATAGAAATGTTCAGATGCTTCTCTCCTAGTGTCTGAGAGGTGATGCTACCTGAGACTAGGAGGAATGATTGTCCTGGCCTATGGCTGTAATGATGACAGGAATTCATATGTGGGGTTTGTACTCAGAATGTCAAATACAGCTGTAATCAGGTGCAAGCTAGATAACAAACTGCATGACCTTGCAAAGTCAAATAGTTCATTTTAAAATATCTATCTGTTTATTTGCTTGGGGTGAAGTATTACTCATTATCACTGAAGCTCAGATGCTTACACTGGATTGTAAAACTAGAAACAGTTGCTACAAGTCCCCCAGGAATCCAGTAACTTTAACTTTAAAAATTCATTCCTTCTAAAGCTTCCTTCTTGGTGCCTGTCAGCCTAGGATGCTTCTTGGCCTGCAAGCTATAATTGTGCACTTGTAGTCTCCATTAAAGGTGCTTGGTGTTATTCATTCAGTTAAGTCATTTAATTGCATGAAGACTTAAATAAAGCAGCTCACAATAGAATTATAAACTACTTGAGAAAGGAGATTATGATTTCTATTTCTTTTGCATTCACTCAGCCCTCACCAGAGGCACACAGTTATTCATTCATATTCTCCCACTCAGCCTCCCTGTCTCACTGGGCATATACACAGTAGGTGTCGAATCGGGAAATAAACCAACCTGCAAGCCCACTAATCTGAGTGGTTTTTTCTTGGCAGTGACAAACAAGAAACCCACACAGGCATCTATCACAAAGGTCAAGCAGTTTGAAGGTTCCACATCATTCGTTCGGAGATCACAGTGGATGCTTGAGCAGCTTCGCCAAGTTAATGGTATTGATCCTAATCGGGTGAGTGAACTGTCCAGTGCTGAACAAAGAATTCTCTTCACAAGATGACTCCCTGATTGACCTTGGTAGTAGTGGTGGTGCTTTGAATCATAACTAGCCTTTTCTGATGCCTATTCCTTTCCTATGGAAAATTATAAATCTTTTAATTATGCTTGTGGAGGAATCTGAGGTGATGCATATAGAAGAAATACTGCACCCAGTAATGTTTATTAGCAAAGGGCAGGGTTCAGATAATCATATGCACAGTCACCAATATTAAAACACCATATTCATGAAAGCTTCATTTATTCCCTAATGCCACTAATGACAAAGATCATTCTACCAAAAATCAAATAAATTAATGACACTTTAAAAATCATGTATTAGGATTCCATTGGATTTTATAAGAGAAACATTTTAAAGTACAGTTATCTATTCGAAGTACCCTCATTCCCTTTTGGGTTCTCTCTCTCTCTCTCTCTCTCTCTCTCTCTCTCTCTCTCTCTCTCTCTCTCCCCCCCCCCCCCTCTCTCCCTCTCCCTCTCTCCCTCCCTTCTCCTGTCTGTCTCTCTCCCCGCCCCGCCTCTCTCTCCCTCATACACACACCCCACCATGACCACCACCGCCACCACCTCAATAAGGAAGAATAATAAAATGTAAATTTTTACCATATACTAAAATAATAAGAGCATCTTTTCCTATCAAAGTTTAGAGGCAAGATTAATAGGGGTCATTGATGAGAACGTGAAGGAATCTTTTTTCCAAGTATTTTGGAAGATAATACATGGTGTGAATTCTGATGTAAGTCAGTCTGCAGTTCAGCTATGTCAATTTCTATGATTCTAGCCTCCTAGGAATATCTATAAATACTGTAAAGTTGGATTTTGCTTGTTAAATAAATGTGAACTCTTCACACATTTAAGTCCTAATAAAGATGAGTGTTATTGTTGCCATGGTCTTTAGCTTTTATGCATGTTTTGATAGGGGAAAAGATCAGTATTTATTTCAATATCTTTTCCAGGATTCTGCAGAATTCGATTTGTTGTTTGAAAATGCTTTTGACCAGTGGGTAGCCAGCACAGCCTCAGAGAAGTGCACCTTCTTCCAGATCCTCCACCACACTTGCCAGAGGTACCTCACAGACAGGAAGCCAGAGTTTATTAACTGCCAATCCAAAATTATGGGAGGTGAGTGGGTACTTAGATGACATTAGTCATTTTCTTTCCTTAGACTCACTTTTATATGAAAAGTTAAATGTTCAGTAACATAATTAAAAACAAAAAATCAAAATGCTCAGAACTAGACAGGATTAGAACCATTCAAGGGAGTTCATTGTATGCTAAGTCTAGATACAATGGCATGTTTTCAGTCTTATGGCAAAGTTGATCTTTTTATAAGAAGTAGCCATTTAGCTAAGATTATTTGTCCTATAAGAACAATTCTGCCCCTTTATTAGAAAAATCTTTCAATTTGTTTTCTTTTCTACTTTAATAATGTCATTGCAGGACAGTTTTCTGGGTTGTTTTTTCCTATGATTTCTAAAGATATTTTACAAATACTAATGTAAAAACAACAAATACTGTCCCTTTCTTTCAAATAACTGCCAATCTCGAGTTAATTCCTTAAGTGATGCACAGAGGTCAGTTGGAATGAGTGTTCTAAGCCAGTGTAATGGGGTGAGCACCAGCATAGGCAACATACTGAGAAGCGTTTAAATGGTGCTTCCACATTTGGCGAGTCTTTTTAGGGAATCCAAACTGCTGAAAATATGAAAGCCTTGCCAATCACTCTGGGAGTGGGGAACAATTTTTATATCATTGGTGTTTTTGCTGACCTATTTTCTTGCTTTTGAAATACATTTTTTTAAATGCACCAACTTTACCTTAATCAAATTTTAAATGAAAGTTACGTTAGAAACATTGTATCTTCTCCTTGGTCTGTGTATGTCTTTTATGTTAATATGGAATAGAATCCAATATTCTATCTTAGCAACTAATGTGCACACTGTCACTTTGCCATTAGTCTGCTAGATCTTGTATGGAGAAAATACTGTTCAATTCCTCATTATTGTTCATGAAATTATTTTACATTTTAATAACCTTGAAAGGCTTTTATCCAGCTCAGATGCAGTCTCTTATTATAGTTTCTCGGTTTAGTCCCAGAAAAACAGGAGGTGATTAGTGGTGCATATTTTCTTCGAAGTGTCTACTTCCTATGATACAAAAGTGAAAAACAGATGTTTATGGGAAAGAAAATATTAAACACTGAGTTATTTGGAAAATAATGAGATATAGCCCTCTATCATATCTATACCACCATTGATCCTCAGATGAAACCTACTTTTAAAGTCCAGCTTTAACCAATTTGGTAAAAGTTTGAAAGACCAGGTGTAGGAGCACTGGTGGGTCCATTTTCAGTGAATGGAAAGTTGGCCAGAAACTCAGCTTTTCCTCATGCTTTATTAGATGGAATTCTCTCTTCTAGTCTAACACTAGATTATTGTCTTGATCATCAGTTCTTACTGAGAAACATTTTTTCTTATTGTCGATATGGCCAGAAGTTTACATGGCTAGCACCTCTAAAAATACTGTGCCATTATACATTTGAAGTTTTTATTGCTCTTGGAAAAAGGAAGAATCCTCCCCCCAGCATTTCACTTCATGTTCCATCCTAAGAGCAGAGTGGCTAGGCACCAGCCCAGTACTATAGGAACTCATGTGCTTCTAACATGTTCTTCATTTACCTTCTTGGATATCCTCAGACTTTCCCACAAGTCACACCCAGCTCTTCCTGAGTCATTAACCCAGTCCTGCAGCGCTTTCCATTGCCTAATAAACCCCAAATGATGCAGAGTTGATATGGGAACCCATAATGTTAAATTGTTGGTATGTAATTGGATGAAACTAAAAATTGCTCTCCTATAGCTAGAAAAATAGCTAGTTAATGATATCAAGTACCAAAATAGGCTTCACCTATTTGTGACTCTAGATATGTCTCTTTATCTTCTCTGGACCTCAGTTTCCCAGGTGCACCATGTGGAGGCTAGATCAGGTGATATCTATAGTCTCTTTTAGTACTATCATTTTGAGTATCTATAATTCTTAAATTAGAATTTTGTTGTGTAGGTTTATTGCTTCTTAACTTAAGGAACTAAGTAAAAGCTTTATTGCAGTTAAATATAGACTGGCCCTGGATTCCTAAGGAAGGGAAAAGAAGAAAGCTTGTATTAAACATATTGTAATTTATTGGCAGCACATGTCTTTAATAAATGAAGTTGTCTTATTTAAATAGTGCTTAGCCTTGGTAATGGTTGTAGCAACACACCCTACTAAATTAGTATGCTAATTGGTCTTTCTTTTTGCCAGTTATCCCAATTCTGACACTTAAGAATTATGTGTTTTGAGGATCACTAGATTCTGACTCCTTCAACTTCTGTATAACTACCCCATGTTCAGCAGATGAAATCCATTTCTAATTTCACAAAATCACTTGGTATCTGTTACACTCGGGCCACAAGTTCTAGATACAATTGTTTATTATACTGTAAAATATGAGTTTTGTGATTTTAGAGCACAAATGTTGGTGTTGGTGTCCTTTATATATGTTATTTTAGTTTTTAAAACTGCCTGTGGAAATAAAATTTACTATCTTCATTTTACAGAGAAGGAAGAAACAGGATCAGAGATTTTATTAAATAGCTTGCCAAGGGTTATAAGTATATTGCTATTTAGTGGAGATAAGATTCCAGCAACAGGCTCAGTCCGCTCTAAAAGCATCTGTCGTAGTGACATTGAGTGGCATACTTCAGGAAACACTATTGTAGTGTCTTTAGATAAATAGTGCCCCCTGTAGTTGTGCAGGAATGGTTGGAACTATTTTAGCCAGCACATTTCTGGGTTTAAAAGAGAGAGGTAGGAGGAGAGGACTAGAGATAATAGATGGTTTTAAATTTTTGCCTTGTTATCTGACAGGTGTATAATTAAAATAATAACCTTTATTTTTCTTTGTCCTAAGGACCACAGAGTCATCAAGGACCTTTAAAATCATCTCACTTTCTTTTGTTTGTTTTTATTCACTATCACTTCAATATATTACATAGATGAAAACATGGGAAAGATTATGCAGTCCTGGCCACTGACAGGGCCTCTCAGGTGCTTTGTATCTGGTCTAGCCCTGTCACTGGGAAAACAGGCCCAGCAATTTTGAATGACTTTGTCAAGGTCAAAGGACTAGAAGCAAGGCTGTCTAGCTCCCACCAAAAAACACTTTCTTTAATACCAATTATAATAATCAACATAAGATTATCATTGAAATATTTGTGATCCTATGTAGTTCCATCACTGAATTTTTGTATTGTGTCTATCCCATGGAATTATATTTTGCTTTTTGTCTCGAGGAAGATCGATTAAATAAAATTAAATGGACTCTGGCATGTTTGAAATTCTTTTCTCCAAAATGGTATCACCTTACTTCCTGCTATGGTTTAGATCTAAATATCCCCCCATTCAGAAGCAGGGCTTTCAGAAGGTGATTAGATCATGAGGACTCTTGATTTCATTAATGGATTAATCCATTGATGACATTGAAATTTTATAGCATTATTGGAAGGTCATGGAAACTTAAGAGGTGGGATATAGTTGAAGGGGCTGTTTCATGGGGGGGCATTACCTTGAAGACATATCCTGTCACTGACCCCTTTCTCTCTGACTCTGCCCCTCTATATATGCTTCCTAACCCTTCCTTGCTGTCTCTCTGCTCCCTGACTGCCATAAACTGAGCAACTTTTCTCCACCATGCCTTTCTGCCATGATGCTTCTGCCTTGGAGCCACTGACAGTGGACTGAAACCACGAACCAAAATAAACCTTTTCTTCTTTAAGCTGTTTTTCTCAGTGCTGAAAGCTGACTAACATACCTCTACTGCAAAGTTTGGAAAGCTAAGATCTTCTATTGCTAACTCAGAACCCAGGAAAGAAAATAATAAATTCTTCAGGGCTGATTGAAGACCCTCATAAACTGAAAAGGGACAGAATGCTCTAATGAAGTGTACAGGGAGAAGTACTGGCTCCCTCTCATGCCTCTGACAGCATCTTTGGGTCTGTCTCTCTTCCCTGGATTGTTAAAGGATCAGTAAGCTAGGACCGAGTTCTCAAGATCATGTGTAACCTCCATGCTCTTCTCTATTAGTTCACTAAACATCAATCACCTTTCAAAAATTCAAAGCCATTGTATGGTTTTCTGGGTCCTTAAACTGCCTAGCAACTTGAGGAGATTAAAAAGAGATGTGTGGAACAAGTTCTGGCTGCTGAAATACAATGTGGCAACACAAATCACTCCTGAAAGTGAAGTCTCAAGTTCACATGGGTCAGATTTATGTCATTTGATAGGGTAGGTTTTATTGTCTGTGTTTATTGTAAGCAGAGATGATGTTATAACATTATATTTGTGATAACACATTTGTTCTTTAACCTTAGACTTCAGAGGAAAGACTTGCTTTCAGCTAATTCATTTCAAAGAAACATGGCCAAAAGAGCATCAGTTTAGATAATGGGCATTTCATATTAATTCAGGGTCTCAAGGGAAACTTTGCTATTCTACATACTTCATTATTCTTACTCAAATATAAACAATTCCCACATGGATCCCACTAGGTCCCCACATTGATATTTTATTTATCTTGCCCTTTTCTAGTGACTTCTATTGACCTGTTTTTTTCTATGCCTAATGCAGGTTGAGAATCCCTTACCCAAAACATTTGGAACAAGAAGTGTTAGGCTCTAGTTTCTGAATTTTAAAATATTTGCCCATATATAATGAGATTTATGGAGACACGGAACTCAAGTCTAAACACAATATTCATTGATGTTTCATATGCACTTTATACATATAATCAGAAGTTAATTTCATCCAATATTTTTAATAATTTTGTGCATGAAATAGATTTTGTGTATGGCAGCTAAAGGGGCTAGGAGAGTCTTTTTTTCCTTGGAGACACTGAATAAACTGTGTTGTGTACCTATGTGTTGACTGCAACACTACACATGAAATCAGGTCAGGGATTTTTCACTTGTGTCATGTCAGCACTGAAAACCTTTTAGATTCTAAAACATTTTGGATTGCAGATTTTCAGATAAGGGATGTTCAACTTGTGCTGTGAATCTTATAGCAATCTTTAAAGGTTTTGCAGT